GGCTGAAAAGGGCTGTTTAATCCACTGCTCCCTTCCAACCCACAGACGAGCACAATTCCTACATAAGTCTTTGAACAGTGTTTAAATTAATATCCAAGTGTAACACCACACGCGGGGGGGGAAGGGGATGGAGATGAAGAGCTCAGTACCAGCCTCTTCCCAAGCGGAGCTGATGAAATGCACCGCTCTGCACCAGCCTGTGTGTTCTGGCTGTCCCCGAGGTCCCTCTCAGTGCTGTAGGTGAGGCTTCTGCTACCCCAAACCTTATTACAGCATCACCTTTTGCTAAGTTTTGGTTTCTTTTTTTTTCTAATAGATCACAGGATCACATAACAGTCTGGGTTGGAAGGGATCTATCTGAAAGCTCATCTTGTTCCCAACCCCGCAGTGGGCAGGGACACCTTCCACTAGACCAGGTTGCTCCAAGCCCTGTCCAGCCTGGCCTTAAACACTGGGCTTCGACGCTGCCACAGCTTCTCTGGGCAGCCTGTGCCAGGGCCTCCCCACCCTCACAGAGAAGAATTTCTTCCCAATATCCCATCTACCCCTGCCCTGTCAGTGTGAAGCCATTCCCCCTTTTCCTGTCACTCCATGTCCAAAGACCCTCTCCAGCTCTCTCGGAGCCTCTTTAGGCCCTGGAAGGGGCTCTGAGGTTCTCCCCTCCAGGCTGACCATTCCCAGCTCTCCCAGTGAGGCCACATTCCCATTCCCATTCCCATTCCCATTCCCATTCCCATTCCCATTCCCCCCGTACCTGCCCTGCACGCGCCGCCGGCCGCGCTCTCTCCTTCCCCCTAGCGGGGGGAACCGGCACTGCAGCGGCGCCGCTCGGCGCCCCGGGACCGGCACCGGCACCGGCACCGGGATTAAGGGAGAGTCGCCGTGACAAAAACCTCTGCCAAAGGGGCACCGCGCAGCCCCCAGCCCGCGCTGCAGCGCCCGGACCGAAACTTCCCTCTGCTGCCGGCCCCGCGCACCGGAGCTCGCACCGAACGGGAGGGGGTCTCTTCTCCGGTCTCACGGGCGCTTGCACCGGGCAAGTGTAAAGTGGAGCAAAACCACTGCGGGAAATGGGGTGGGACCTTCTGCAACCCCAGTCCCGGATCCGTGCGGCTCGGGGTCACTCCAGTGCCGGAGCCCCGGGAGCCCCGAGCCGGCTGCGGGGCGCCGGGAGCCCGCACCGGGCTGCGAACGGGACGGGTACAAAACACCGGGGGCCCGGGCTGGGATGCAAAGGGGTTGGTTTGCAAACGGGACCGGGAGCCCAGAGCGGGCTGTGCCACACCGGGAGCGCAAACGGGGCTGCCAAACATCGGGAGTGCGAGCCGGGGTGCGAACGGGGCAGGGCTGAGCAGCGCAAGGAGTCCCACCCGGGCTCCGAGTGGGACTGGGCTGTGAAGCTCGTCGAGTGCGAACGGGACCGGGCTGCCAAGCCCCGGGGGTGCGAACGGGACGGGTGTACACAGCCCCGGAGCGCGGTCGGGCAGCGGCGGGGGGCGGCGGGCGCGGAGCCGGGCGCTGACTCAGCCGCCGCCGCCCCGGGCCGTGACGCGCCGAGGGGCGGGCGCTCCCTCCTCCATATAACGCGGCGGCGGCCGTGCAGAGCTCACACCGACCTTTCCTGCGAGGGGAGAGGGGCTGAGCAGCCGGGCAGGCAGCGCCTTCCTCGTCCTCACCCTCCTCCTCCTCTTCCTCCTTCTTCTCGGCGCAAGCTGCACTTTCCGCCGGCTTCAATGAAACTGGCAGCGATGATCAAGAAGATGTGTCCCAGCGAGGCCGAGCTGAGCATCCCCGCCAAGAACTGCTACCGCATGGTCATCCTGGGCTCCTCCAAGGTGGGCAAGACGGCCATCGTCTCCCGCTTCCTCACCGGCCGCTTCGAGGAGCAGTACACACCCACCATCGAGGACTTCCACCGCAAGTTCTACAGCATCCGCGGCGAGGTCTACCAGCTCGACATCCTCGACACGTCGGGCAACCACCCCTTCCCAGCCATGCGCCGCCTCTCCATCCTCACAGGTACTTGTCGGGGCCCCTCTGCCTGATTTCAGGTGTTCTCACCTAGTTTCAGGGAGGTTTTTCTAGTCCCGGGAGAAGGGAGATGGGATTTTGTGTGTTCAGTGGATGGGCAGCTCTTCTTGATGGACCCATGTGCTGCCCGGTCCTTCCCTCCCAGAGTCTCTGTATGGCTTGGGCAGTGGGTGGCTCTGTGTCCCCATCCCTGCAACCATCTCATGTTCCCTCTTTGCCCCCAGGAGACGTGTTCATCCTCGTGTTCAGCCTGGACAACCGGGACTCCTTTGAGGAGGTGCAGCGCCTGAAGCAGCAAATCCTGGAGACCAAGTCGTGCCTGAAGAACAAAACCAAGGAGAACATAGAGGTGCCCCTGGTCATCTGCGGCAACAAAGGCGACCGGGACTTTTACCGGGAGGTGCAACCCCGGGAGATCGAGCAGCTGGTGGGAGGGGACCCCAAAAAATGCGCCTACTTCGAGATCTCAGCCAAGAGGAACAGCAGCCTGGACCAGATGTTCCAGGCGCTCTTCGCCATGGCCAAGCTGCCCAGCGAGATGAGCCCCGACCTGCACCGCAAGGTCTCGGTCCAGTACTGCGACATCCTGCACAAGAAGGCTCTGAAAGGCAAAAAGCTGCTGAAAGAGGGGGGCCGGGGCGGCACGGAGGAGGCGTACGGCATCGTGGCCCCCTTCGCCCGGCGGCCCAGCGTCCACAGCGACCTCATGTACATCCGGGAGAAAGCCATCGGCGGCGGGCACGGCAAGGAGAAGGATCGCTGCGTGATCAGCTAGGAACCTCTGCTCCCCATGGGAAGGAAGGAAGGAAAGAAGGAAAGGAGGGGGGAGTGATGCTCGTTTCTGAACTGACTTTGGGCAGGCAGGAGGGTGGGCAGGTGCCCACCCTGGGCAGAGAGGGGGTCGCCTCTCCCCCAGCCTCCCTCCTCCCGCTTTCATCACCTCTACCCCCCGGGGGTGCATTTTGGGAGCGAGGGATGCGAAGGGGGAGGCTTTGGAGGGCAGGAGGGGGCTGTCACTGAGAACAGCCTCCTCCTCTGGGCAGAGGGACAGGGAAAGGGTGAACTGCTGTTGGCCAGGTGGGAGGATGCATGTGGAGGGCACAGACCTTGGTGTTTCTTTCCCTCCCAAAACACCCAGCCTCGGGCACTGCACTCAGAAGGGAGGGCAGGGCCTGCCAGCACCTGCCTGGGGCTTTGGGGTTGTTTTTTGTTGTTTTTTCTTCAACTTGAGAAGCTGTGCACGGACTCTGGCTCTGTGTCGTGTGTTCGTCTGTGTCTGCAAACCACGTGCAGAAGACACTCCTAAGGTGTTGCAAAGACATTGCAGAGTTACAGCCCCGATGGACCAAAAAAACTGACTCTTGTTTACATTTGTCTTGTTTGACTTGCAAGATTTGGGGAGGGGTGGGGGGAGCGGGAAGGGTTTTTCAAAATAAAATAGGCACTTTATGTAGGTATTGTATGTCATTGACATGAACAAAAAGAAAAAAATCTTCAAGTGTTTCTACCGTGGGTGAAACTTGATGTTTTATTTTTTCTACAAATTAATAAAATCTTTTTAAAAACGACACTTGTGGGTTTTGTCTTCGCTTCCTCTCCCTGTCCCGCAGCAAAACCTGTAAAACAAAAGACCTGAGCCCAGCTCCAAGGTACCAAAACCAGCCTCTCAGTCCCTTTATTGCCCCATTTTCTCCCGACTCCCAGTGCAAAGGTTCCCGCCTCTGCAAGCCGCCGGTTTCTTGCCACACGGGGTAACAAGGGGCCATGCAGGGAGTTACTCACTCCAACGGGTCACTGAGCCAGGACTCTTTCCTCACTCCACCAGTGACGATCCTGCCAGCCCCACGACATGCCGGGCGCTGGCATGTCATTCCCCGCAGTCACCCAGCAAACTGACATCACTTCGTTACAAAGAGCTGATTGTGCTTCGTGCTCTTTCCCGATTAACTAAGCACACTTTAATGATGTCAACACAGAGTGATTCATTGGCACCCCGGCTGGGATATTGTTTTTATTTTGCAATATGAGTAAAGGAAGTACTTTGCTCGAAAGGTCACCTCTGCATCTGATGGTTTTTAATCTCTTCCCGATAACAAAGTCACAGTAATCATTGCTAGAAGTGAAAGGGAAAGGGGAAGAGCTCTTCCCGGCTCCAGCTTCTGTTTCAGTTCATTTTCAGCCCCCATTCCCCCCTCACACAGCAGCACAAATCTGTGTTTAATACATATTAATGGCAGGAAAATCATACTGAAGCCGCAAAACTAAGGTGGGGGAGTGAGACTGCAAAGCAAACCGCCTGAGTTTCGCCTGAGTTTCGCTTGAAACTTGGATTCAGGTTGACAGAGTTAACTTGTTCCTGTGCCGAGTGCCAGACATTTCTTTGGCAACAGGTTGTTTCTTCCAGCCCTGTGAATGCCTGATTTCACAGGAACAGCGACTGGCAAAAGAATGGAAAACATCGTCCAGGCATGAGACACAGGAATTTATTGAGCTGGGACAGGCAATTGGTTGGTGGAAAGGCAATTTCAGTAATAAATAATGTGTACATTGTGCCTTGTTTATCATGGTGTTCTGCCTTACTCAGAGTTTACACACTGGCACCTTCCCAAAGAAAGTACTAGTACAGGATTCCAGTGGGGACAGAGTAAATCTCTAAACCACAGGTGAGGTGCAACAATCCCAGCTCCCAAAGACCAGAATTATCTGTTCAAGCTGCTCTAACACTCGCGGTTGTGGGAAGCCCCTGGAGCACTTTGGGTGTGGAACTGACCTGTCCTGTGAGGCCTGACTTTAGCGTGGAATAATCAAAAGCTCTTATCATTTATGTCCTTTGTTTTGATTCTTGCCCTTCCTCTGTTTTCTGAGGAAAAGACGTTGGAGCTGGGCCCAGGCTACACACACCCTCTGTGCTGCCAACATCCTGCCCCTGCTCAGCCCACATCCACCCAGTGAATACACAAGAGGGGCAGTTTGGAACTCATAAATCTTTACTTGACTCATCTCAAACACAACCATCAACTGTTCAGAAAGAGAAATACAGAAGCAATTGAAAGTAATCACTCCTCTTTCAACACACAGAAAATGGAAAGTGTTCCAGAGTCACTTTCCAGGAGCAGGGCCAAGCAGCTCACGCTTCCCTCTTATGTTCCCTTTTGATGTTTGGCCATTTTTAAGTAAAAAACAGTGCAGAAAATGCCTCCACTCTCGTTGAAATTAACCAGCAGGCACTTTGACCCCTAGCGAGGAGAAAACATAATGTCTCCTTCTGGTTTGAACATAAAAAAAAGAACCCCACCCCGAGAGAAAACAGGAGATGGATACACAAATGCACAGTCCTGCAGCAGATCAAAGGGAAGGTGCCGCTGCAATCACCCCAGGTGAGGCACTCGGTGTTCTGGTTCACTGTCACTCACCTGTGGTTCAATGGTCCACACAGGCACAGTTCCGCAGCAATGTAACCAAAAAACCACAAGGAAAGAAAAGCAAACTCCTGCCACCCTGTTCAGCCTGGAAAGGAGGTACATCTCAGACTCGAGGACTGGAGCTGTGCCCGTCCTACTCCTTGGGGATTTCGAACATGCACAGGCTCTTGTACTTCTGCAGCAGCTCGTTTTTGGTCCGGACCTGCTCCCGCAGGTTCTGCAGCTGCTGCTGCTGCTGCTCTGGGCTCACACCAATGCCAGGCATGGAGCTGATCAGCTTCCTCATCTCCTGGAACTTGTTCTTGAGCTCATTCAGTACCTGGTGAACATCCTGGCTGTCCTTGTCCATGCTGCACAGGAGAGAAAATCGAGACATTGTTGAATTCTCCTATTGGAAGCACTGTAATTTCCAACACAACCAGGGTTTAAACTGGATTTCTCTGGGAAACTCGGTCTTGGTATCTAGCTACACGCACCTGATCCATCTATCCCCATAAAATGGACACAGATAGATATACAGACTGGGTAACTTAGGGGCAAACTATTTTCCTGCTAATTTCCAGCACACAATCCAGTCACCTCAGGATGCATCATCTGGGTTAGGAGTTGGTCTGCAGATTTCAAACATTACCCTGGGGCAGGCTAAATTCTCCCTCTGAACTCCAGTACCTCTCTTTGGGGAAGGTAAGACTGTATGTGCGTTCTGTGTAGGCACCTGGAAGAAAAGATCTCACTCTCACCCGTGACCTGTTGCAGCAGTAATACAAAAAAAATCAATGCAGTCAAACAGCTTGACAGCAGAAAATAGAAACTGTTCCCCAAAGCACCAGAGAGTGTCCAAAGGCAGAGAAAATTGTACTTTGGAGCTTTAAAAGGACTCTCTGGGGATGTATAACTAATAAAAGAGAAGCAGTGGGGGTTTTTTGGGTTGTGTTTTTTTTTTTTTTTTAAGAGCAGCAGAATTGGTTCTGCAGCCAGCTCTGTGCTTTTCAAGGCTCAGTGTTGTCTGAGGCAGTGTCTGCCCTTGAACCCTCATTAGTATCTGACTCAGCTTTGTTAGCACCAGCGAGAAGCTTTACCAGTTCCAGGCAAAAGCCAGTCCCTGCTTCCAGGGCGCCTGTTAATGGGGAGAGCGGGATTCTAATGGTCTTTGAAAAACTGGGAGCCTGTTCAATAGACAGACCTAAAAATAAATCTGCTTGGCATGACCAGAGCAGAGAGGGGCTCGATTATAACTTTGGGGAATCGTGACATGGCTGAAAGCAAAACTTTTAACCAGATGGTCGCCGCTTGTTTCAAAGGCCTGTTGGAACAAAATATTCATTATTCCCTTCTAAATAAAACTGCAGCTGGTACTATAATGTCTCCCCATTATGCAGGCACTCATGGTCAGGTCAGCAGTGGAAAAACACAGGCACACACACACACAGCCAACCCCATGGCACATCTGGAGAAGGAAGGGGTGACACTGCCTTCAACCCACCAGTTGCAGTCTGGCTTTGACAGGGATGCCCTCCCTGTTCAGGGCTCCCCACGTCTCATTCCCTTCCCCACACAGAAAGAACTGACAGCTGTCTTTTGGCTGGTAGGTCCAAGGGGATAAATATTTCAGGCTCGGTGGCTTTTTCTCCTCGTGGGTGGTTTTCCTGCTGGATCAAGCTACTGAAGCGACTCCCTGTTTGGGGACATGGAGAGGTGGGAGGAAGGAGGTGTGGGAAGAGACTGAGCTGCCTGCACTAACACAGGATCCAACGCAACATCCAACCACAGCCTGTGCCGAGGGACTGGTCATAAGACCTGCCTTAGGGCACAAGTGTTCCTCACTACACCAGCACAACCCACCGCTGGTGGAGCCACGCACTGGGACCTCAGCAGTGATGCCACTGGACTGTGCAGGGCTGAAAATACCAGCAAGCCCTGTTTAGGAAAACTTTCCCCGGGCCCAACCAACAGGAAAGAGCACGTCCTTGAGCGTGAGCAAATTTACGCGATCCATCCTCGCTCCCGAGCGCAGAGTCACCTTGGAGATGTGTCTTCACGGCTGAGTCAGTGTCAGAACAGCAGGGCTGGGCTCTGCGACTCGCGGCAGTGTTAGAGGACAATACGTTTGCCATCTGTCAGGGACGTGAGGCAAAAAACATCCCACCGCTCGCCTCTGCGGTCCTGCCCATCTGCGGCACCGTTCGGAACCCGCGCCTGCTCGAGCCGCCCGGGGAGTGCCGCGCGCGGGGCCGAGCGAGGAAACTGGGGGACAGGAGTGGGTGGTTCGGCGGGATAGGGCACAAGATATCCCCGGGACTGTCATCTCTGAGTCACTGTGACCTGCTCGGTGACATATCAGAACCTGGGAAGCCCTCAGCCCACGACTACTGCCCGCTTTGCTGAGGTACAAGCACCTGGTAGTGGATTCAGCCTCAGTTCTGGCACAGATCAGGAGGAAACAAGGCCAGGGGCAACTTGATTGCCCACCCCCAGCACAACTGGAAAGCTGAGGGAAATCAGAGGGTTTGTGGTTTTGTGCCTGTTATGGACCAGTGTGTCAGGGGTGTCAGTCCTTCCTTCCTTCCCATGGCTCAGGCTGCAGAGTCATTAAGGATGAGCCACTCTCATCTTTCAGATGTGCTTGGTTCAAGTGAAACATCAGCAGGACACAAACCAGCCTCAGTTCCCCAATATGTGCACAGGGAAAGAGCAGTCAGGGGTGCAGCCAGAACAAGGGGACTCATGTTTCCCACACCCACTGCCTCACCCTACACTGTGCCCAGGTGAGGGCACGGAGCTGGCCTGGATGGATTTCCATGACAGAGCCATTCACTTTCTGGGAACTCAGGCAAGCATCTCTGGAGAAGTTATCCTGGGCCAGAAACACGTCGGTTCTCAATACCCTTGTACCATCACCTTTTACCTATAAAGTGCTTATCTTGAGGTGGGAAGAGAACAACATAACCTGTCCCACTGCAGAAGACATCCTCCTTTTTACAGTTCCCCAGAAATGGCCTGTATTCCTGACGCACTGTCTGTACTTTCTGAGGCTGTTATCAGCCAAACAGTTCAGCTCTCTGGAGCAATGACCCAGCGGTCGTACAACCCTCCTGCCCTGGGGTGTTGGGTGGTGGGGCAGTACCTGGGCCATGGGAGCACCTGCACTGCCCAGGTGACCCCGACACCACCCAGGTAATGGCACAGCTCTGAGCAGAAATGCACTTGGGGTTGTGCCAGCTCCCTCAGATACTCTTCCCAGGATATCTGGATGGAAGAAAAAGGGCAAAGGAGATGCTGGGAGGCTGGAGAGCATCAACAGAGGGGCGACCATGCTGCCCTGCTACCCGTCCAGGGAACCATAAGGATGTTAAGGAACATAATTAAAAGGAGGATCTCGCTGTCCTGCTCCTTATCCAAGGCGCTGCAGAGACGATGAGGGCTGGAGAATATCATTTGAGGGGGATACCATTGCCCCACTCCCTGTTGGGGGCACCCTGAGGATGCTGAGGGTGAAAAAACATCATTAAAATGGGGGTCTCACTGCCTTGCTCCTCATCCAGGGCAGCCTGAGGATGCTGGAGGTGGGAGAGCATCATTTGAAGGGGAACCCCATAACTCTGCTCCTCACCCAGAGCATCCTGGGTATGTTGGGGCTTGCACAGCATCATTGCGGGGGGGACCCCATTATCCTGCTCCCTGTTCAGGACATCCCTGAGGATGCTAACGACGAAAAGCATCATCAAAGGGGAAACCCCCTAACCCTGTCCCCTGTCGGGCGCATCCCTAAGGATGCTGTGGCTGGGAGAGCATCACTGATGGGGAGAGGTCCCTTAGCCCTGTTTCCTCCCCAGGTCCCCCGAGGGCTCTGGTGTCAGCAGCACCCTTGGAGGGGGGTGGCCGGGGTAGGGCTGCGGTGCCAGGACGCGGTGCCCGGCGGGGCGGGGAGGATGGGGGTGTCCCGGTGGCCGTGCCCGCCGTTACCATTTGATGATGTCGTGGACGAGGGGCAGGAAGGAGAACTCCTCCTGCGCGGGGGGCAGCGGCGGCGGCTTCTGCTCGGCGGGGGGCTCTGGCGGCGGCGGCTCCTCCGCGGCGCGGGCGGGACCCCCCGACGCCATGGCGGGCCCGCCGGGCCGCACCGGAAGTGACGAACGGGGCGGGGCGGGCGCGGCCCCGCCCACCGGGACCGGCCCTCACGGTGTGAGGGGAGCGGGGCCCGGGGGTGTGGGTGAGGGTCATGGGTGTGCGCCCCGCTCCGGTGATCCTGCCCTGCAACCGCACAGTGATCCCCCCGCACCCCAAGTGATCCATCTGCACCCCAAGTGATCCATCTGCACCCCAAGTGATCACCCCCTCATGATCCTTCCCTGCACCCACACAGTGATCCCTCTGCACCCACACAGTGATCCCCCCCTGCACCCACACAGTGATCCCCCCTGCACCCAAGTGGAACAAGATGAACTTTGAGGTCCCTTCCAACACAAACCATTCTGTGATTCCGTGAAGAAGTGGGGCTCTGGTAAGACTGATGTGTGGGGTGGAAGAGGAGGGTCGGAATGGTGAGTGATCAAGGCTGGGAGAGGGAGGGTGATGCCCTCTGCACCAAACAGCCTGAGTTTGCTGCAGCCAACTGCTGCCACTGTTTAAACCCCTGTATCCACATAAAAGCATGGTAGCACTGATAATACCAGCCCCAGTCATGAGCTTTTATTCCTGGTTTGGCTTAGAGAAAACTCATAATTTAATTTTTCATTTGAAATAAGCCCCCCTGCTCAACAGTTATAGGCTGAGGAGGCCTGGCAAGGCAATTTTCTCTTTTAAACCAATTGCTTTCGGAAAGCAAACAGAGGCTATTTATACATCTAATGAGAATGCTGGTAACCATTTAAACGTGGAGTGTTGACTGTTTGCTCTAAATATAGCAGATGCAATCGCTCACTTTGTTCCTACCGTCAGGAATAGATCCTGTTTTGGGAGCTGATGCTGGAATGTGCGAAGGAGCCTGGGGGAGCCCAGGTTCCGCTGAGCGGATCCCTGCAGGAAGGCTGGTGGTATTTATGGCCCTCGACTGAGCCAAGCAGCAGGCACAGGATGCTGTGTCCTTCGCATGGGGCTGAGCCGAGAGGTTCATTTCTGTCTCTTTTTAAGGGCTGTTTCTAAAGCAAGGTTTGATTCAGGCTCCGTGGGGGACAGTTCCCTCGGTGCCGTGCCGGTTTTAATTCTCCCCTTGGCTTTCTGGAGGAGGGCAGCAATAATTGCTGGGCTGCTGGCTGCCTGCCTCTGATGGGTGAGTCAGGCAGTCTTTGGAGCAGGTGACAACATGCAGATACCATTCAGCCTTACCTAAAGCGCTGTCAGTCAGTATTTCTTTGTGCCATTCCTTTCTCATTTTGGGTCTTGTGTTCCCACAGCAGCTGGAACACACAGCTTTATCTAGCTGGCATTTCTCCCAGTCCCTGCCTCTGCCTTCCCTTTCTTGTGGGAACAGCTCCTGCAGCTCCCCCAGGTGACCCACCTTGGTCCTTTGGGGTTTGTGATGTCTCATGGCAAGTCCAGGGGAGAGCAAAGATGTTTTGCAGGTGTGTTGTGGTTTGACAGGCTCCTCCATCACTGGAGCTGCTGGTTGATTCATCGGGTGAGACTGTTGTCACCATTTGAGTGTCAACCTGTACAAGGGGACAGTAGAACTGTGGTCTATATGGTAATGGTGTCCATATCCCCAGTGATGGCTTTGGGGAAAGGTGAGACCCAGCTGGCAGGGAAGAGAAGAATTTTGGTGGTTTGGTTGTGCAGTGTTAACCTCAGGTGAGCAGCAGTGCTACTGTGCCTAAATCTTCACCTGTCCTTGTGGAGCTCCAAAACTGTGCAGTTCTCCCTAATTTTCACTCTGGATTTTTTCACTCGCTGTCAGTTCCTCAGCAGAAGGGTTTGAATGAGCAACCTGTGAAAACTCCCTGTGAGGCAGCTAAAGCATGAACAAAGACACTTAGCGATGAATGAAAAGAATAATTTCCCCCTGGATTTGGTAATAAACCAAAGTGCAAATGATCGACCTGTTCCTCGATTTAATTGTGGCTCTCTGTACAATTCACTTTCTGGACAGGCAGTTTCTGAAATGTGCGAATGTTTCCAAACCATCTGATCTCCTGTGTACACTCTGCTTACCCAGACATTTCATTAACCCATTATCCTAAAAACCAGCTGATCAAATAATCCGTATCCAGAGCCTCTTTTGTTTTTCCCTGTTCCTTTACGATAGCAGTGTTAATCTTTTTCTTTTTTTTTTTTTTTTTTTTTTTTTTTTTTTTTTTTTTTTTTTTTTTTTTTTTTTTTTTTTTTTTTTTTTTTTTTTTTTTTTTTTTAATTTCTGTACAGATTGTACCTCTTGTCTGCTTCCACAGGGAACTTTTGAGGGATTTACCACCAGGTGACTCTGTGCCTTTCACTATTTCCTTACAATGACTTGATGTTTTTATATTGATGGTCTGACATTTCACTGTGCTCCACTTCTCGATGCCGGACCATCTGGAGCTTGTTGTGCTGTTGCCACCAGCTCTGTTATCATTTTTTACTATGTGGCTATCACCAGGTTGAACTTTATCTCTTCCTCCTGCTCCGGCACTGCATCATCAGCCTGAATTTTCTATTTAAGTCTTGCTAAGCTGCTGTGGTGGGATAAGTCTGTATTGCTCAGCTGGGGAGGTGCTGTCAGTGTTGGAACCACCTGGGACAGGGTGATAGGAATGAGGAGTTAGAGCTGCAGCCCTTGGCTGCAGTCAAGGCACACGAGCATTGGACTTTTGTTAGGCCACGGCTGCGATCCTGCAACTTCTCAGATTCCCGGCCAAAATCCCCCCCAGTTTTGACCAGATGGGAATTCAGTCTTAGGCTCTGCCTTGTCTTTGCTTCTGGTGTCATGCAGGGACCATTTCAGGTCCCTGGTGTCCCAGGATTCTCAGGGGGATGCTAATGAGAATGGGGGGGCCATAAGCCAAGTTTCATCCTTTGAAACCATGTTTTAGCCAGAGGTATTTAGGTCCTGGAGGTCTGGCTGCCCCAGACACGCAGCCCTGCACCACCACATCCTCCCAGAGCTGCTGGTGCCCCTGGTGCCAGCAGGGTTTAAGATCCAGGTGGTGTGAGCAAGCAGCACCAAGCACATCCACAGAACCCCAACGCCTGCTGGAGCTCATCAGGCTTTGGCAGAGCCACTGGATACTGGGGAAACTGGGCTGCCATCGGAGAAGGGCCATCATCCCATGGCCCAGGAGGTGCCATCCTTGAGGATAGCCTGGCGTACAGGACAAGAGCTTGGCCAGGCTGCCTGTAGCACCAGGCTGAGTGTCACTGCAGGGCATTGGCCTGGCCATGAAGGCCAGTGCTTCAGTTCTCCGAGCCTCGGGAGGTGAGTGGGGATGATCCCAGGGCACAGGGAGTGTGCAGTGATCTCATGATGCTCAGTGATCCCATCCCACGGCTTAGCAAACACAGAGGTTGGCCCAGGCTGTGCCACCCCAGGGGAGGCATCCCAGCTATGGCGTGGGCGAAGGGAGCACCAAGGGCTTCTTGCGCAAGGTCAGCTACGCAGAATCCTGGATCCAGGAAAACACGCAGATGGATCAGCCACAGCCTGGCCCACCTCCAGGTGCAGGTGGCTCTGGAGCTCGCTGTCTCCATTGGGCAGCGCTGTGCCCATGGGACATCCTGGGGTGGTGGGTCCTGGGAGCCCCCAGTCTCTGCAGGGTCCCACCAGATCGTCCCACAGTCAGGTGTGAACCCCCCAAGCTGTTTTCCACCCAGTGCAAAGGGGCAAAAGTCACCTCTCAGAAGCAAGACAGGAACTTGGAGTGTGAATTTGGGGTGTCCCTGAGGAAACCTAAGCCTGCAGAGGGAAATGCCCTTGTTACCACTGGGCAAAAGCAGCCCTGGAACCCTGCTGGCTCCGGCTGCCTTGTGGTGAGTCAGCAACGTCCCTGCCATTATTTACAAATAATGAGTGAGGCAGCGAACACGTGCAGCCAAACACATGAGGCAGCAGGAGTTTCACTCTCAGTATGCAACTGTGGCCTTGAAGCAATGCTGAAAGTGCCTGCACCAGAGCCCAGGGCTCAGCCCGGGCGAGGATTTCTCTCCTGACTTTCTGAACGCACAGTCAGCACGTTGGGAAGGGGATGGGGTGGGACAGCACGTATGTGTGTGAGCCTCTGCACATTCATCCCTGTGTCTGTGTACATCCCTGCATGAATGTGCATCCCTGAGAGCTTCCCGAGGGGTGTGTGCAGTCCTGTGTGCATCCCTGTGTGCACCTCTGTGTTTGTGCATCCCTGGGTGCATCCTTGAGCTCGTGCACCCCTGTGCTCGTGTGTCCGTGGGTTCCAAGGCAGCACTGCCCCACACACGGACACAGGGTGGGTGTCACAGAGGACAAGAGACTTGTCAAGATAAATTTACCTGGATGCACAAAGCAGATACTAATAGGGTTGCCCTCAGGACATTAATGAAATCCCAGGCCCTTTCTTGGAGTTGTTCTTATTCTCCTAAAGTGGGTCAGGCTTCGTTTGTGTGTTTGTCAGAGTCCCTTCAAGTGCGGCAGGAAAAGGCATTACCTGATGCTGGAGCTCTTCAAAATGTTTCTCTTGGGTTCCTTAACACAGGGGGAGAGGAAAACAGCTTTGTTTGGACTTTGTTTTGGCATCACTGAAAAAGAATCGGGTTGAGATTTTAGGCTGTCCTGCACTTGAATTGCAAGCACCATTTCTCTATAATTGGCCTAATTACTGAAAAGAGACAAATTTTGCATGGGCTTTGTGAGATCAGTCAGGTGTCCTTGAAGAATAGTTTTACATGCAGAGCAGTGGGTTTCTGGGGCAGCGCTGGCGCCGTGGGAGACGCAGCTCTCTTGCACATCTGGGAGATGGAGAAGCCTCCATCCAGCTCCAGTGAGAAGCCAATTAATCCTTCTCCTGACCTGGAAATGGTGCATCTCTGCAGTGCTATGGAGGGAGCAGCGTTTTGGTGAGAGAGAGCCTTCCTCCTCCAGGGCTCCCTGGGCACCCCCAGGATGCTGCCCTCCCTCCACCTGGAGCAGACTGTCCCTCTCCTCAGCCACTCCAGCAGCTCCCAC